AAACTGAACATACTTTTGTATTTTTAAATACATACATATTATAGATAAATTACACCCAGACACAGAAAAAATGATCATGCTCATCGCGCAATTATTTGTCAGGGTCACTAACCACTAGACCAACAGGCCCGTAACTGGGTGGAAAGCAATTCGAAGGATCATTTGTAGAGGTCATGATCTTCCACAGTGAGGGAAACGACAGGACGATAAATCATTGAAGAATGCTGTAGAAATATTAATGAATTGCAGTGAAAGTGAAGAAGAATAAGAAAGAATAAGAATTGAAAGTCCTAATTTAAATGAAGTTCGGATGAAATAGAATATAAATATTAATTCATTACTGTGTGGTGACGGATTAAGAATACAGTGTCACCACCCCTATTCATCCCGTGGGTGTCGTAAGAGCCGACTAAGGGAGAAAACTACGCAGAAAAACATCACTGCAGAGAGAAGGACAACTTGACACAAACCCTATACCAACCCGTCTGGCCAGCGGGGTATAGTAGGCCAAAACCTCCAAAAAGCTAAAAGGCTGTTGATGATGATTAATTCATTGTACGATTGATCTAGTTACTTTGGCACACCAATACAATGTTCTTCAATGTGACGTTATATTAGACCTATTTCTTAGCGTTCCATGGATTTACCGTGCGGTGCCGGGTCCATGGCGTGATACATGGGGGCAACACATGCGACTTCGACAGCGCCTGGGACTTGCGACCCAGGTATAGGTTTAGGGAGTACTTCTTGCGACGCGTCAGCGCTCACCTCCACTTTCTGCTGTGTTACCCCTTCTAGCTAACCATATTTGATACGAGACTAGCAATGCCACTTTTGATATTCTTCAAGAAAAGAGCTTACTGAAGCTCTTGGCAAACCCAAGGTCTTTAAGCAGGTTATAGAGGGATTTAGCTAGTATACCCCACGTGGTATACACATACAACGCAACGACAAAACCATTTTTTGTTATTTCGTTGGTTAAGTCAGAATACTTTTGACTAACTGTTAAAATTTTGACTAATTTATTGAAAGCATAGTATTGACCGTAAATTATTATATTGTTATGTACATATATTTAAGATAAAGACACTCTTAAACTAACAAATTAAGTTTAGACAAATAATAGTTATCTTATCTTAAACAAAATGGTCACCCTAGTTCAATACAATGTATCTATACTAATTTATCTCGATGTTGTTTTCGGTGATTTCTTCTTGAAAATTATTTTTCTATACTTCGAAAACAGTTAGTTTTTTAATGAAAGGCATCCTGTCTTTCGAACGCTTTCAATTAAGGCGGTTGATACCGGATTGCTGCAGTCAGGGTATCCTACACGAGTGGTCATGATTTTTCATACAAAAGGACTCCACGAAAAATTGTGCGAGAGCCGTGCGGCTCACATCCGTTGGCGGGACGTCAACAATGCATATCTATCTTTCTATTTTTAAGTTTGGAAAAGAGGAAACCCCTTGGTCACCCCACCGGTTTGTTGGAATTGAAGCAACTAAAACCACACGGTGTGCCACTTTGCGCCTGAAATAGGAGGGATCCGGGCACCGAGCTGTTTAATTTGAACATCCAGAATACATATACCTACAGGTAATACCTGCCTCAGTCGTTGTGATTCTTCGCAACGTCAAAATAGGACGTTTTTGTGCATATCTACCTAATTTTGGACAATATAGACAAATACTTTTATAAATGAAATAGAGTTGAAGCCCGCTGTCTGGATTCCCAAATGTAACAAGTATTAAAATCGCTTGAAAAAAAAGAGCCTTAGGATGTCTTTATTATGTGAAAAATTTACTACCGATTTTAAAATCAATAGCTTTATATGTTTCAGCACTCTAGTTTGGCATCGTTTATGTTTCTTCCGTAGTAAGAGAAAAGTAACGCTACCTCGTCAGAGTTCACGACACCGACTGAAGCCGGGTTTTGATGGAAATCACTAAAATTCAATCAGACTGCAGCCGCATAGCTCTTCAAATAAGACGAGTCGTGTTCTACTGCTGTCATCCCGCAACAGTCCGTACTGTCACGTTCGTAATATTTCTGCAACAACCGTGCGTCGGCAGTCCGACATCAACCATCTAAAATGAAAGGGCTCCTTTTTCTGTCCTCTTGCCAACAAATTTTATGATGATTGAAACCAATCATTTCAGTGCTCAACGTGTGAAAATGAATCATACCTACAAATTCATTTTAGTATTTAAGATACTGTTAAAGTTTATTCAAAGAAATACCTAACGACTTAGATAATAAGGTTACAATTAAATACGTCAAACTTAGTTAATATAAGGAAAACCTCATTCTCGAACTAACACTCTACTAGTCTCAAATTATGTTGTTAACACAACATTATCTGCTATTAGCTAGTATGTAACGTAAGTTTAAATAGAATTAACCTTGAATGTCATTTAAATAGTGACGGACTCCCGTTATCATCCAAACTCCTGGTCAATAGAAATAGATAAAAGAAATCGTAACATTAAGTTACCTTTTTGAAGTAAAACTTCTTTACGACTTGGGGAGTAAGCCGGTGAATGCGTGACGAAAGTTGAGAGGGAGATATAAGTTAGTAAAGATAGAAAGAGCGAGAGTTACGTTTCGTATATTACTGTAGGGGCAAGAGAGAGAGGTGCAAGCACACATTTTCTTTCTTTCATAGCCAAGAAGTTCTGACCAACCTCCTTAATTGAAAGCGTCCAAAAGACATAGGATGCCTTTCATTAGAAAACAAGAACAGTTTCCGAAGTATAGGTAAGCACACAAGAAGTTTTACTTCAGTCGTGTGGTCTAAAGTTTTTTTATGTAGTACCTACGTATAGTACAGTTCACCCCAGAGTATTTGATCTGTTTTAATTTTGATTTGTATCTGACACTGACCGTCTATTTTCAGAGGAAACACCACATACTCCAGGCTCCAGCATCGCCGTGATGATGGCGTGATCTGGAAGCCGACAGCAGATCGGAAGGATTTTTTAACTTCCATAACTAAGTACTTCTACTCCGTAGTGCGATGTTTCTTCGTTAGTTGGTATTGAAGTATGCTTCTGTTTCGTTGTTTGATGAGGTCGCATCACGACCAACACCACAAGTATTAATAAGAATAAACATTAAAATGTTGTCACCACCCCTATTTACTCCATGGCTGTCGTAAGAGCCGACTAAGGGAGCAAATTACGCAGAACAACAGCACTGCAAAGAGAAGGAAAACTTGAAACCGTTTGGCCAGCGTGGTATTGTAAGCCTAAACCTTCTTTCTAAGAAGAGGCCTATGTCCAGAAGTGAAGTATTAAAAGCTGTGGATGATGATGATGATAAAAGCAAACCTAATTATATTTTTTTACAAATTGTTTGAGTCACTACCGAGATATTGACACTTAATACGTATTTATAACATATAATAGAGAGATACGGGTGTGCATTACGGAGATGGTCAGTTGGTGTCAGTGACCTCTCCAATCACAAGACAAACATACGCGACCCCTGCTTTTTCGAGCTACTTACTAGTCTCATCCCAGACTTGCTGTATCACTTATTGTACCTCTGTCGGCTTATGCGTTTCCCCAACCATCCTAACCTAGGGTTCTAAGACGGGTCTGAAAACGATTACATTCCCAGAGAGAGATGGGGTCAAGCAGGTGGTCGGCCATAAAATAAATCAGCCGAAACTCTATGCAACGTCTTACATTGTTCTCACTACAAATAGAATTAAGAGAGGCAAATTGAGAGATATATAAGACAAATTGGTTGAAATTTGGAACTGTATATAATAACTAGTTCTCACACACACATAATTCTTATTCTTAAAAAGCACTATTAGAGAAGGCCATGGTGAGTGTACACAGAAAAGGTATTTATGAAAACTTACAAGATTTTCACGAGTGATCGAAAATTAAAAAAAAACCTGTAAATTTTGTTTTAATCATTGTTTTTTTGTTTAATTTCTATTTCTTAAAGATACATCCTACTAATTACTATGTTCACAAGTTTTATGTATTGTACAGTCAAAATCACGTTCAGGTTTTCACTTGCTTCATAAGTTCTCTACTGTACATACTTTTCCCATCTTCTAAACTTCTACTAGCCTTGATCATTGGCTGGCGACGCCCTTCTAGGTATTATGTGGAAATTGTTAGTTCATAGGTGTTACGCTCGACTAAAAGTATAATTTAGCACCATCTATCGACGACCAGATGAACTCGCAGTAATAGTTGTGTGAGAGTTGTGAGTTTTTCAAATAGTTTAAACTCAACCGCGGACCGCAGGGCAAAATCAGATGATCTGATAATGATAATATAGCGCTAGGTCGATTGATCCTTACCTTCATTTGTGTTGGTGGGACATAATAACAGTTAAAAAATTATGTAATACAAATTAAAACTATGGTAATTTTTTGTAAAAACATCATTTATTCCAATAAATATTTTATCAAAATTGTAAGAGAATAACAAAACACCGTAAACTATATAATTATAACGTGTAGAAGAGTAATATTATACAGGCTTTATCAAGATATAACATAACTGATCGTTATGAACAACAGATCAGTTTAAGGTAAATTTAGAACGACTAGGGGACCGTGTGATGTCTAGTAGTAGTCTGAATAGGCAGGATAAGGATCTAATTTTATACATAGGCTATTTAAAAAGTTTAGTACCGTTAGTCGACGGCAAAATCCTATGAAATGTTGGTAGCTGATGCTTTTCATGTTGTAAGCACCCACTAAGAAAGGATTTTGGAAAAGTTCGACCTAAGGAAGTAAAATAAGGGATGAACAGTTGTATGGAAAGAAATCATCACACGCGCGAAGCCACGAGTAATAGCTAGTGTATAATAAAACATTAATCAAAGATATGCCAAAAAGGCTTAATATTTCTGTATTCAATTAATATATTTTTTTAATCGTTTATAATTTTGCACGATCTACAATAACCTTAAAACATATTTAAAAAAAAATTGCTCAATCTCCATCATAAATTGTTTATCACGTTCTTTTAAAACTTTTCCACCCTCACTTCTAACACACCAATGTTCTGAATCTCGCTCCGTATTACATCTCCAGGCTTCAAGAATTCTGGAGGATTGCGGTGAGCGCCCACACCGCCGGGAGTACCCGTGAGTACAATGTCACCGGGCAGGAGTGTCATTAGCCTGAAATCACGAGTTCATTTTTATTAAGCAAGCCCTCATGAAACTGGTGAAAGTGACATTAACAATTACAGACCCATGGTACACATATTATAGAAATCAAATATAGCTCATGTAGGACCCGTAATATTTTGTGGCCGTGGTGCTTCCCTGTTTAAAAGGGTGTATGCCTATTTTACTTCATTTTGTCTCCCGCTTTGCTAAGGAGGGAAGTGGATTTACTGTATTTCCAACTCCTCCAATTTTCTTCTGATTAATTTCGTTGCGGGTTCCAAGACAGTTTAATTTCTTCCTGGGACTTCCCGAGTGTCATAACTCGGTGTGTTCGTGGGTCACTGCTGTGGATCCTGGTGTACAGGAGTTACAGTGGTGGGCGTGTGGGTGGGATTAGTCCCAAAAAGACCCATGGTTTTGTGAATTATCAAAGATTTTAAGAAAGACTTAAATAAAAAATACAAGCTTCCTGAAAGTAAATAATATATTAGCCAATAAACAATATGGATTTAGGGACTGGACTAAGTTCAGAAGATGTGGTGAGTTTTAGATGGTAAAAGGAAATGCGTGAGTAATTTTTGACCTATCCAAGGCTTTTGACCCTTACTTTGTTACGGCTGCCTAGAATAAATTTAAAAAGTTAGATGTAAGAGGCACCACTTACACTACCACAAAAGTTTAATTCAATATAAAACAATCTATTACTAAACAGACCCAAGTACCTACCTACTTGAGCCCCCTCACTAAAGAACTGTGAAAGTAACGCTATAGTCATTAGTTAAGGTGTACCCCAAAGGTAGCATTTTAAGCCCCATTTCTTTGTTATTTAGCTGAGGGTAAAAATTGACAGTCAGTCTCTATACATGTAGAAGTGATATTAAAATGTATTATGATATTAGACAGCGTATTAGATAATACGCTAACTCTCTATTCAAAAATATTTTACATAGATTTTGGTATAAGATCATGAAGATATCACATCATCACATCACCTCACATTAACAACCTATAATAGTTCACTTGTGGACATAGGTCTCTCCTTAGAAAGGAGGTTTGGGCCTACTATACCAAGCTGGTCAGACGGGTTGGTATAGGGTTTGTTTCAAGTTTTCCTTCTCTTCGCAGTGCTGTTGTAGGGGTGGTGACATCATGTATTCCTAAAATGTCACCACACGGATATCTTAATCCGTCACCGCACGGATAAATAGAAGATTACTACATGAAGATATAGCTATTTTGTATCTTTTTTTACAGAATCCCTCTCATATCCGCTATTTCTTCTGTTTTTGACCAAAATTGTACCTTTATTTTAAGATTTTTGTTTCATTGTCAAGAATAAAAAAATTGATAACTATATTTCTTACTTATTTTTTGAACATTTGAAGAAAATATTTACGAATACTTACGAGGACAGTCTCTCAATGACATCAGGTATCTTGTGTATGAGATTTAACGTGTTACTTTTCTGCTTCTCTACGCCGTTCACGCTACATTTGATGTCCAATTTCTGAGGATCGTCGATTTCATCCTTTGTCACTATCCATGGCCCAATGGGGCAGAAAGTATCTTGAGCCTATCAAGACAATAATTATATAAATACCTTATTCTCGCTAATTTTTTAGAACAACTACAATATAGGGCATCAAAATGCAGGCAATCAAATGAACGCCTCCTGTACGCCAGGCGAAGAGTTGCGTCCCAAAGTATAGGTAATCATGTGAGTACCATTAGCCTGAAATACTATTTTTCGAAGCATTTCCTATGCGGTGGATGGGTGGCTAGGTGGGAACATTAAACATTTCTAAGATACTGTCGAGTTACAATAATCAATATTATTTCACTTCATAAATACATATATAATCAACATTATGATAATTTCTATGGATATTGAAAAGTTCTCGAGCTAAGACAAAGTTTATTATAATGTAATGTAAATAAGACCAGGGTCAGGCAATTGTTTTCTTGTAATTCACATAGGTTACCGGATACCCAACACTCCCCCTTAATTATGGTCGGAGGCACCTAAAGGGCAACAATGCACGGGTGTCTCTTGAGTTTCAGGTATCCATGGGTGCACTAGTCACATTTGTATCAATAGACTGTCGATGGAATATCGTCGAAACCGTTTTGCACTTTTCATATTCTACTATGTGAGACCAATGCCCTTCCGATGAGTTGTCACTGAACTGTCACTGATACAAAATGTCGTCGATATCTTTGTGATAGTTTGGTAAATGGTACAATTTAAATTTGTAAGGAAATGATATATTTAATTTTCCAGATATGGCAATGTTCTTGATTGCTACTACATCGACAGTCTAGTGACACTGTTAAAATTATGTTAGTAGAATGTCAATGGCATTTCAACACCGTGTCAAAGGAATGACAGTGGCTTGTACGTTAACATAAAATAGCAGAATTGAGGCCCTGCTCGTTTGGTGTCTATACCCTAAAAAGACGTATATATAATAGCTGGTCAAGACTGAAACAGTTTACTTTTTATTAATCTAGCTAGATCGCATTATAAAAACATAATGCATTATCATCTTATGGCCATTTACAAATATCATCTAAGCAAAATACAAGTGATGCTACAGTTTGGAAGCAGGTAATCAACTACATGAATAAAAAATTCTTAGCTAAAATGCTTTTAAGTTTAGAAACACTGGTATTATATAAGTGTAGGTCATATTGAGATAAATTTCTGTTGTATACTTTACTCACGCGTATTATAAATGAATTTCGTCTGTATGTAATTTTTACATACAGAAGACTAGGATTGCGCAGAATTATGGGTCAAGCAATAGGCTCAGCACAACTTATTATATGGAAAGTGGGCCAATAATTTTGTTACCTTCCCCAACAAAAACTGTCCACCATTTAGCTCCTTCTGCCAGTCTCTGCTACTGATGTCTTGTGCAATCGTGTACCCCAAAACACAATCGTAGGCGTCTGCTGCCTTCACGTTAGTACATTTTTTGCGGATAATAAATGCCAGTTCTACTTCCCAATCTACTTTCTGAAAAAAAAAGGGAAATTATAGGATAAAATAAATAATTTTAATCAATGGATGAATACGAACATTAAAATAAGACTGCAGAACTAAGAGTAGTTTACTAATTAATAAATTTAACTTTAACTTTAGCAAAATATGACGTCATAAATTGCTAATTTTATTCAAACTTCTGTACTGTTGTAAAACCATACTTATATTATAAATGTGAAAGTGAGTTGGTTTTTTTGTTACGCTTTCACGCCTAAACCACTAAACCAATTCTTTCACTAATGGAAAGCTACATAGTCTACTTTTTACCGCGATAACCAACATGCACGCGGGCGGAGCCGCGGGCAAAAGTAAATTGTTCCCGTGGGATGAACAAGGTACAACAGCCGTGGGTAACACCGTGGGCGCAGCGTGTTAATATTACATGGGGCGCAGCAATGGCGATAATGAGGGTAAATATTTTGATTAAATAAATATGTTAAATCTTAGAATAAAACGAGTTTCAATTTTGCAGTGATAATTACCAATTTCATACTTAAACCCCTATTACTTAAAGATTAATTAATAATAATTTAGTGTGTTAATTCTAATGCCTAGTGTTGATACTTTAACACGATTATAGTAAATAGCTGTGAAGTCAACCGAGTTTCTCTTGATATTAAGCATTTTGTACCTTCAAAAAACTTAAATTTTGGCTTATCATTGTGTTTACAGTAATTTAAACCCTGTAGCGATGTAATTAACATTCAATCGCTTGCCTTACAAATAACTTTCTACAATAGATAATGTTATTTGAATTTTAAATCGCTTTTCCTGACCCGTTCAGAAAAAAGCGATTTAAAATAAAGAGGTGAGTAGTATCTACACATAGATTTACATACATGTTACAAGAGTTAACACAAACATCAAAAGAGACTGATAAATAGATATGCATATATTTCTGTTGAATAAATATAATACTTATTCGTGATATCATTTTTTATCTAGACATAAAGGCCGTGCCTGTATCTTCCACGACGGCGTAATCAAAATTCATCATAAGTTGCTCTTTTTTCACGTAGTATTGTCCTAATTTGAGGATATCTTTCTTTGGAATTTTCTGCTTATAGGAACAGAATATTTATTTTAAACTCGCTTTCGCTAAACTCCTCCCGCGTAAACGTCTTTCCCCAAAATTCAAAGTATCTCCATACCAAATTTCATATAAATCGGTTCAGCAGTTATTGATTCCCCATACAAATTCCACCCCCTTTTCACACCTTTAAAGGATGATTTCTGGGTTAAAAACTACCCTATATCCTTTCCCTTGACTCGGACTATCTCTATACCAAATTTCATTTAAATCAGTTTAGCGGTTGAAGCGTGAAGAGGTAACAGACAGACAGACACAATTTCGCATTTATAATATTAGTATCGATATTCAATTTTACATACAACGGTTCTAGTTCATAAGATAGATTACACATATGGTACAGGTACGCTTCTTTCACAATCCATCCATAGATACTTATATTATAAATGTGAAAGTGAGTTTGTTTGTTTGTTACGATTTCACGCCTAAACCGCTAAGCCGATTTTTAAAATTCACAGATGGAAAGCTACGTTATCAGCGGGTAACATAGGCTACTTTTTACATCGATAACCGACATACACGCGAGCGGAGGCACGGGCAAAAGATAGTAAATTATTATCGGCGAAAGGTCTACCCACTCTTTCGGTGATATAGGTGTGGTGTAATTGTGTATGTAATCGTAGTACACTAAACACGAAAGAATTCTATTCTTGTATTTGAAATAATGAAATGACGGTGCCTAGTGGTTAAGGCGTTGGACTTGCGATTAAGAGGTTGAATCCACTCCTAACACAAGCAATTTAGCTTAGTGGGAGAGGTTAACGGGAATACAAGTAATTTCGGGTGCTAGTAGACCTTTTTTTTGAAAAAAACTAGCCTTTTCAAATAAACTTCATGCTACCTACAAAATTATGTTTTTACGACAATGTGCAACACCAAATTAGTGTAATGTGTTCTTGGACCCTATTTTATTTTAGGCGCAGTATAATAGCACACCTTATGGTTTAAGTGGGTTCTAAAAACATCTCCGCTGAAAACCTAAGCGGAGGTGAAGACCCCTGAAGATTAGCACAAGCACAAAAACTCAGAGACATATATATATGTGCGGAGGACTGAGCTAAACGCTAGTCAAGTATTCTCACCTTAGCAATTTCAGTTCTAATTCTGAGAGCTTCGCTCGGTCCAATAATGGTACTGCTAAATTTACTAAATATCATCGGCACTTTTGGCTGCTCGAGATTCTGTTCCTTGCAATGATCGGCATAGTTCAGTCCAATACACATCACTTTGTCCATTCCAGTAATGGGCGCCATTAAATTAATGCTGGACATCGGCTCAGATTGTGGATTGGAGCTCTTTATACTGAAATAGAGTTTGTACTGCGGCTTGTAATTGTTCGTAATTAAAAATTACAAAATAATGGCCATGGAATATCTTCCATGGCCGTTATTTTGTAATTTTAGGGGCTTAACCTGTCCATGCTTATTGCTTTTTTTACATTCAATTCGTAAGAGTGGTGAAGTGGGTCGGTGTATGTATGCGGTTCCTGGCAAAACTCCATCCTTTAAGGAACTACTGAAACTAAGATTTATAATAACAGAAATACCACAGATTAGGATAGAGGTGACACTACCGCCGTGTTGGCAACTTATCCTTGCTCCGAAAACTGTAGCGACCTTAATCAATAGAAGATTGAATACTGCGTCGTTAGGTAGTTCTACATCTGCTGGCAACTGCCTACTTGGTGTCTTTGGAAGGGAATAAAACACGAACCGGATAAAAAAAGGATAATTTGTATGAATAAGTATGTTCACCGGCGGGTCTGGTTACCATTAAGTACAGGCTCTACTTGAAATCAGATAGCCGAGCGTGAGATGTCACCAGCCCATGGACTTATGCAACTCAAGTGATAAGTAAAAACTAGAGTGTTTTTCTACCCTTTCGGTGCCCTTCGGATAGGGGGTGTAGATTAGGGCTCTGGTAGCCTCACTGACTCTATCTATACAAATAAATAAAATTGGAGTGTCTGTTTGTAATATTAAAATAACCGCTTTTTACTAAATGCATATGTATGTTTACACGGTACATATGCCAAAATAACATTTTTTACAATTTTTGTCTGTCTGTCTGTTTGTTCCGGGTGATCTCAGGAACGGCTGGACCGATTTCAACGGGACTTTCACTGGCAGATAGCTGATGACATAAGGAGTAACTTAGGCTACTTTTTTTATATTTATAACAACAAACGCGGGTAACACCGCGGGTCTCAGCTAGTATCAAATGAAAATGATTGTGGGTCAGCTCGAAAGCCATGTGTCTATACACATTGACATGAACCGAGTGACTGAGGTAACTAGTTTATTTTCTAAGTAGTTTTGGGAGTTTCACTGAAAAAAGATTTTATGAAATAATGATGATTGACAGAAGTCAGTATTGAAGATATAAAGCCCAAAATAATCATAATGGAGAAAATATTGAAAGTCAATTACATTTGAGAATTCAAAGCAGCTTTGTTTTCGAATAAGAAGAACCGACTTATGGGTATAATAATAAATAATCATGTTTTGACAAATAAACAAGTTTTGATAAGATAAACTATCTGGCAATAGCAAATAATGAGGCTATCTTACAACAATAGCAATGGATTACCAAATTATATCTGGTTATAAATTGTCATTGTAGAAATAAAACATATCAAATACTTTTATACCAGCTAAGTATTTACAAAAGTTCTTAAAATATATTATATTAATATATCCCAGTTGGACGACCCATTACCAGTTCCAGGGGTAAGGGATTTTTTCCTGGCCTTCTCATTATATCGAGAGAAAATTAATAACAATCATAAAGCTACCTAAGATTAAATATAAGTCAATAACAACAGCATATTTTGTATGTCAAAAGAGATCACATATTACAAAAAAGGGTAATCTGTATTAATTCTAAGTATGTCCAATTTTATACCCACACTACTATATCTCTTGCTGAGCGCTGCTGGGCTTAAGTTAACTCTGGCTGGCATTTATTCATTTGACTATAACTATATGACTATAACAGAAGTTGATTAAACTATATTAGTTTTGTGTTTATGTTCCAGTATCTCTTTGCCAAAGGTTAACAGATTGCTTTTTTATGAGATACCAAGCTAATTGGCACAAAAATAATATATCTCGGTTTTCTGCAGTTGCAAAATCCCATTAATTTTATTAATTTGTGAGGATTGATGTATTGTCCCTCAGTCACACCAGATAGATTAGTCTGGAATACACTTGTGTTAGCTCTTGTGGTTGTTTTATCTTTCAAAGGTACATAGGCTACTATTAACAATGATAAATTAATTAACAAAACAACACTAACAACACAAATGATGCGGTAGGTAACAGTTAATTGTTAATAAAAAATAAAAGGAGAAATTTAGTTAGTTTGGTTAACATGCATGAAGACTAAACTAATTATCTATGCACTCTGTGTTTCAGATTTTTTTCATTACAAAAACATAATATGTTTAGAAAACACATGATTCAAGAATAATTCAATATTGTTATTATACATCATTTCTACTAATTAATGATGAACATTGGGACAGTTTTAATAAAATACTATAAGTATGTACATGGTTACAATATTTTTATAAAACTCGATTTAACTGTTTACTAACCGGTATTAAACTTACATTTATAATTTTTAAGAATATTATTACATACTAACTATACCACTATTAACAATATAATATTTACAAATTATATAAACTCACCTTTTCACTCTATCTAAGTTGCCTCTTTGTAATAATCCCAACATAGTAGATGGTAATTCTGGATTACATTTATTTATGTCAATCACATTATCACCCTCTACATAACCCACGCGAATCTCGTCTTGTTTATTTTTATATGCAAATTGTACAAATTTCATGTTTGTACTGCTTGTTACTGTAAAAGTTCTGGTACTTAAAATATTGCCACTCAGTGGTTTGGAAAACAAGTAAGGTCTGCTCAGTGTTGTAGCGAACGTGCCTAAACGAAACCGACTCATGTTGAATGGAAAATAGATTACGCAATTAAGACAGTTTATGTGCGAAGTCAAGGTTATTGGCTTAAATATTAGGGCTTGGTTTTTGTCATATTCGATGCGCGTTTAGCAGTAGAATTTTTATAGTTTCATCAAATCCTTTAAATAAAAGAATTTCATAAGACTCATAATCACCAAAACACATTTTTGTATATAAAATAATTCAAAAATAACTTCCAAAAATAATCTACCGGGTAGATAATTAATAATAGTAACAGTTACCTATGTTGATAAATATTCGGAACTATTTTTATGGCCAAGGCCTTATTTTTATATCATTTTGACAAAACTACATAGGTACTTCATTCTACATCGTTGAATGTTTTTTTTTTTTTTATTACAAAACGATGGCTTAGGATTTAAGGATTTAGAGTTTTAAAACATCTCAATCATCCCCTTCAGATGCATAATATGCATCATGAGATTACTAACGAGTACGATGAGGTGTGTGATCGGTATGGTGAATTCTAACCACCGGCTTCTTGGTCCCTGTACCCGATGTCGGTGGTCTACTATTTTTTATATTTTTAAATGTATTTTGTAATATATTTAGAAATGTAATCAATTTTAATAAATATTGTAATAAAGAGAAAATAATAACATCTCACACACGGCCGTCTGATTAAAAGTAGGGAGAGTCTGTACAGTTGTAGCCAGACTGCTGATTAATGAAGTATGTTACTTATAGTTTTTTGAAATAACTAAATATTGTAGATAAATGAAATACATAATCTTAAAAATAAATAATGGATCACATTATATGATAGATTTATGTGCGCTATCGATTATTTTCAAACGATACTAGTATTAAATACTATATAGGGACTTTAAGAACATACATGAAACGGACACAAAGATCACCCAGACTCAGGACAACAATTTGTGGATCACACAAAGTGTGGTCCCATGTGGGGATCGGACCCATTACACTCAGCATAGTAGTAAGCGGCTTCGTGATCTCTTAAACCACTACGCCATCCGTGCCGCCATATTGAGGGTTGACTGTAGTGTAGACCAAAATCACAAAGTTTTTATAATACATTTTTATTATTTATCACTAGTATAATTGATCTAAGTGGTTTGCAATCGGAGAGACCAATGTTCAGCAGTGGCTGATGATGATGATATTAATGCCGTTAGAGACGTAAAGAAATCAAACAAACGACCATCTACCTTAGTCTCTCAATCAATATAATAAATGAAAATCTCAAATACTTGTTGGTGATCTAATTCTAGATAGCTTATAATTATATACATTAATTTTTAACAAGTGAATTAAGGGCGCAGGCGTTATAGTAACGATCTTAAACTATAGAATTATTCTCGCCTTAAAACCCAAATCTTAATTTAATTGCTGTAGTTTTATTTGTAACCAATTAAAAATTTACATAACAAGAAAAGTATAAAAGAAAACATAAACAACAACAACATTAACTGCTTACTACTAATGTTAAGGTTCACGATTAGGGTGACCCAATCGTGAACCTTAACGTTAGTAGTAATTGGGCCCGAAATAAGTTTATTTAAACATTCCAAATAAACAGCAAAAGCAAAATCTCTATCGAGAATGTAATACAAATTATGTTACAAAATCAAGAGTTAGCAATACTGTTCAAAATGTCATTGTCACTTGATTGATTAAACGCAATTAAACGTCATGTAGTCATGTCATCCGTCATCTTCCTTCATCTGGTAAACTGGTAATCACAATTTGAAGTGCTAAAGTCATTCCGATTTTAGTGATTTATCGAAGCCGGCTGTAAAGATTACTTCATAGATATTGTTTATTGTATATAAAGAGGTCTGCGCATATAGTTTCAGGAATTAAAGCTGTAATAGAACTTTTGTCAGAATGTCTTTCTTAATTAGACAATTAACTCGCAGGGTAAGGCGTTTTGATACGATGATTATATTCGGCAGTTCTTAAAAGCCAGTGACTAAGCTCTTTTCGACTTACAGGTGCTTTCTCCAGTGGCATCGTCTGTGAAAAACCTGAATTTTTCTACTAGTAAGTGTTATTGTTTGTTATATAACCTAAAAGTGAAACATTTACTTAGTAAATCATTTTGGTTAAATTAGATCAACAGGTTCATACGAATACTGAATCATTATACGACTTTTACATTACCAGGCAAAGAACTATACGTTACCTAGCACACATCTTACTCTAATAAGATGTAGGAAGTAACCAATAATTAAGATTATGCATATCATTAATGATTTTTCAAATTGGACTAGAGGGTGGTCAAGGTATAAACGATTTATTAAAAAAAATGGTTTTACTCTGAACTTACAGAAAATTATTTCCCACTTTTTAGTTCTGCTAACTACAAAGGCGTGTTTTTTTTTATTAAACTAATTCATTGTGTATTAAAAAAACAAATTGAAGTTTATTTTATTATTTCAGCTAGCGCTGCATTTGTTCCTAGAGTCCAAAAACCAGCTCCCAACTTTGAAGCAATTTCTGTAGTGAATGGTGAATTCAATAAACTTAAGTTATCAGATTTCAATGGCAAATATGTTGTTATGATATTCTATCCATTGGATTTGTAAGTATTTTATATTGGATTGGAAGTTTATATTGGATTAGCTAATGCCCTCTGTGGCTATATTTGCATATTATATGGTATATTTATAATTTTTTTATAAATTAAAGCTATCTGCTATTGCGACAATCTACTACCATTAGCTTAACAAACCAATTTTTAATGTACAAAAATAACAAGTTTTTACATTTACAAATAAAGAAAAAAGTAAATATTTTTTTTTGTTATATAAGCAGTATGCAAAAATTGAGATTTTGCAGTTATTTTAAAGTGTCATAGTAGGATTTATTTTTTTATTTATATTTGCAGCACATTTGTCTGCCCGACAGAATTAATTGCGTTTAGTGACAGGGCACAGGAGTTTGCTGGTATTGATTGCCAAGTCTTGGGTGTTTCTACTGACTCTGAATTCAGTCATCTTGCCTGGATTAATACTCCTAGAAAGGTATGTATATATATTTCTTATAAGCACAGCGCTTTTTGAGATACCATTGTATTTCTTAACAATCGCGAGAAGTTAATGTACATGGTCTAAAACTCTAAAGAATGCACAACCTGAACTAATCATACGTATGAGTCTAACATCCTTCTGGCTAAACTTTTTAGGAAGACAGCCATCTGAATCCAAACTCTAGCCTAGTATAACTCGTAGTATTTTTTTAACACATACAGAGTAAATTAGGGTGCTTGCCAGACTGTGCCAGGAGGTGTCGGTTAGTGTTCTGTTACCCTTTCAAAATAGTAGTTCCTGAACTGATGAGTTCATTTAGATTGAGCTTAGTGATGACTGAGCTCAATGACTACAGGTTCTTAATAGTGCAGTGACTATGCAGACAACTTGACCATTGTCATCAGTGATCCCTTTTAGAATGTTATGTTGAACTAACAGGCACATTCAGAGCGGACTGTGTACATTGTACAGTGGTGCAAAACAAAATTTAACAGTTTAGATATCTGGATCTTTAAAAAATATGTTAGTCTATATGAAATATCTGAATTATTCTCTTTTAATTTTAGGATGGTGGTTTGGGTAAACTAGATATTCCACTTCTTGCTGATTACAAGAAAAAGATTTCAACAGATTATGATGTTCTTCTTGATGAAGGTTTTGCGCTTCGTGGTAATTATATTTTCATTTCTCTTTTGCACTTACAGCTTTCTTGGCTATAAAGCATTTAAATCACTAGCGGCTAAATAAAATTGGTAATTAAACATATCAGATGACTCTGAGTACTCTTACAGAACTGATATTCAAAAATGGCCTATTGTATGTATGTAATATTAATTGAATTAGAAACTATCCTTTCAAGTTTCATATTATTTCTTTTGCAGGTTTATTTGTCATTGACAGAAATGGAATTTTAAGACACATGGCGGTCAATGACCTCCCTGTTGGCAGATCTGTAGATGAGACTCTGAGGCTTGTTAAAGCATTCCAATTTGCTGATAAGCATGGTGAAGGTATGTGTTGTTAATTTTTTGTACCCAAATTAAGCAGACTTTATACTATGATCATTCTAGAATATGGATAAACATACATAGATATTATTGTAAATATGTATTTATACATAGATATTATTGTCTATGGTGGGCCTATGTCCTTCAGTGGGCTGTTATAGGCTGTTGATGTTGATGTGATGATTATTGTAAATGTGTAGATACTGTATGTACATGCTCATATTATACATAGGAGTATCTACACATTGCATAGAGTGGGATTTGTCTCTTCGTTGGGCCCTTCGTTAGATGCCCCTGTATCTAACGAGTTTATTTGTCATATATTTGTTAACATCAGATCTGTGTGGTGACGAATAAAGAATACCGTGTCTCCACCCTTATTCGTCCCGCGGGTGTCGTAAGAACCTACTAAGGAAGCAAACTACGCAGAACATCAGCAATTTAAAAGAAGGATAACTTCACACAAACCCTATGTCAACCCGTCTGGCCAGTGTGGTATAGGAGGCCAAAACCTCCTTTCTAAGGAGAGGCCTATGTCTAGCAGTGAATTATTAAAGGCTGTTGATGAGTGATGTTCACAACATCCTGTGGTGATACACATATGAATATTATTCTTCACTGCAAATATTAATTAACAAGTGATCATTATTATTTTCAGTTTGTCCTGCTAATTGGAACCCTGATACTAACGCTAGAACAATCAAGCCTAGTCCTAGAGAAAGCAAGGAATACTTCAGTAAAGCTCATTAAGTCATCAGCAGTATTAAATAGTTTTCTAATCTTAGTGCATTTATATTAAACTGTATTTTCCATATTTCATGTCAATAAATGGAGGATTCTATGTTCCGTATCTGAGAAGCAGGAGTTATACCTACTACAAAACTAAAATACAGAACCGTATATATCAAAGTTGTAGGAACACTATAACTTAAGCCAGCAGTTTGACATAGTTTCTAAATTAATATTTACTTATCTGCTTGAGCCTGTTTGAATAGTCTTATTATTATTCGTCATGTTAAAACAACAAAAACAGCCGTATGACACTAATTTCGTATATTCTATGTCATTAATTTTCTTAAGAGGGCGCTAACTGTATTGGCTCTACGTGGTGATTACTCAAGTCTCTGAGGTCATTTAAAAAATGATCTCTTTTTTTAATATTTGGCAATATTATATGTTAATATATATATGTTATATTTTTTGTAGTATTTGTACTATTAGGGGTTAGAGTTAAATATACTGAAGACATTTATGTACTAAGTATATTTCGGTTTGGTATTGTGTTTTTTATTTATATCACGGTGGTTACAGTTGCGATATTACAATTGGAACGTATTAGTGATTGAGAAAATGTATTAGTTTTATTGTTTTTAGGAAATAAAGAAAAAAATTATCTTGACTCTGTTATTTTAATAATTAGCCTTAAACGTTAGATAGATATGGACTTTAGCATTGGATTTAAAAATCCCCATCTACGTAGTTAAGAATTATACTGATCATTATTGAATATATTTTTACCTAGAAATAAGTACTGTCATTAACTTTTATACAAGCGAATCCGCGCTTAAAGCCTATTTTTTAATCTAATTAAATATTTTTCCTTTTATGGATGTAATATTTATTTAGTATTATTTATTTATATCTTTATTGAATACAGTTAACACATAAATAAAGATTAGTTACAAATATGTAGACGTAACAATCAGCCTTAATTCGAATATAAGACATTTAAAAATTTGAGTAGTTTACATACACGTAACGCGTGAATATTTTGTCGGGTGTCACAGGCAAGTTGTTCCAAAGCCTTACTGCTTGCACAGTAAAAGATTTGTCTGTAAACTGGGTGGAATGTTGTGACCGATGACCTCAGGTCCCTGCAATGTGTGTTGTGTAAACTGTGTGTGTGATAAACTGGTATAGGTTTTATATAATCACTAGCTGAGACCCGCGGTGTTACCCGCGTTTGTTATTATAACCGCGGGTAACGCCGCGGGGCGAAGCTAGTCTAAAAATAGTAGCCTAAGTTACTCCTTATATCATCAGCTATCTGCCAGTGGAAGTCCCGTCTAAATCGGTCCAGGTCCGGTCAAAAATGTTATTTTGGCATATGTACCGTGTAACACTAACATTTGCATTTAGTAAAAAGCGGTTATTTTAATATTACAAACAGACACTCCAATTTTATTTATTTGTATAGATGTATATAATAATAGGTCTTTACCTACCTATGAAATTGCCGTTTTGTATGCAATAAGTGAAAGTACTTATTTTTCAAACTTTTTTATTTCTGTTATTCGAAGTAATCACCCATGCAATCGACGCATCTTTGCCAACGCATTGGCAGTTTATTGATGCCCTTCTTGTAAAAATCAGCTGGACGGGAGGCAACAAACTCTTCAAAGGCATTTTGTACTGCCTCGCACCTTGCACCTACCGACTATTACTTTTTCCAAAATTTAGTCAACTTTTTAGTGGGTAAAAAATTCAATTCAATTCTTGGCTCTTCCGTGGCCTTCAGTGTTTTGAAGAGCTAACATCTGTGTTCAATGATGAAGCAATTTTTCCGTGCGTAAATCCCCTCGGATACCACCTATCGGTGGCATGTCGGACTCGAACCGACTAAAACCGCACGCCGTCTCGGGTACTAATAGCCGGGGAACCAGGTGTACATTAGAAAGGAAGTCCCTGGTGCGCTGATGAGGCCCCCTGTCTGCGGACTGTCGAACGCTGGTATTCAGAATTCCAGCGTGGACATACTAGTGTTAGTGACAAATCTCGCGAAGGACGCCCAAAATCCGCCTTCACTGAAGATAACATCATTGCTGTGAGACAACTAATTCTCGAAGATCGTCACGTGATAGAGGCTCTATTAGGCATCTCAGGGACAACCATTCAGAAGATCTTGCATGAAGCGCTTGGTGTGAGAAAGCTAGTTTGCCGTTGGATACCGCATCTGCTTTCCGACGATCACATGGCGGCCCGCTTCAGACGGTGTAAGAAAACTCTGCAAAGGTTCAACCGAGGAGAATCAAATCACGTCTACAACATCATCAGTAGTGACGAATCATGGATCTATGCCTACGATCCTGATTCCAAACAACAATCTACAATCTGGGTCTTTGAAGACGAGCCAAAGCTGTTCGTTCTCGAAGCACTTCAAAGATGGTGGCGACGTTCGTTGGAAAAACCGGCCATGCTGCGACTATTGCACTTGAAGATCGTAGAACGGTTAACGCAGAGTGGTATACCACAAGTCATCGCCGAACTTCGAAAATCTAACTCAAAGCGAAGCATCATCCTGCACCACGATAACGCAAGCTCACACAGCGCTCGTCAAACGATTGACTATTTGAAGCAGGTAAAAGTAGAAATTCTTGACCAGCCTCCATACAGATCTGACGTAAGCACTAACGATTTCTTTACATTTCCTAAAATTAAGAAAAGTCTTCGTGGTCAAAGGTTCCAGTCCGGTGAAAAAGCAGTCGACGCTTTCAAGTCAGCCATTTTGAACACTGGGGGTGTTCTGAAAGCATCGACTGCTTCTTCACCGGACTGGAATCTTCGTCGACTTTAGAGTGGAATATTTTTTTAATAACTGGTTTGAGCGAATGGAAAAGTGTATTAAGTGAATACTTTGAAAAACAATAAAAAGTACTATAAGGTTCTAGCTGTGTTTTTTTCTTCAAACGACAAAACTTAAAAGGCATGCCTCGTATGTTCTGCATTTAATGTGGATTGAATTTCCTCTTTACAGCTTATCATTAGAATGAATATTTTAGAAGATATTAGAGGCCGAAGTGGCCAAAGTGGTTGTCGCTGCAGCCGCGTCGCGGGACCTGCCTGTCCCAGCTAGCACCGGCCTCACGCATCAAACTTGACAGAGCCTGTACTATGATATCCAGGCTACTGATAAACATACTTCTGTATTTCTAAATGCATACCTATTATAGATAAACTAAAAATTATGTCCGTGTGGTGACGGTTTAAAAATACGGAGTGTCACCACCCCTATTCATCCCGTGGGTGTCAGGGTGGCCAACCCGTCTGGCCAGCGTGGTATAGTAGGCCAAAACCTCCTTTCTAAGGAGATATGTCCAGCAGTTGACTATTAAAGGCTGTTGATGTGATGTGATTTTAACTAAGACAGAAGAAATGATCATGCTCATCTCACAATTATTTGTAATATAGTACTCGTAATATATATGTATTTATATTTTTTAAATATATATATAATATATTTTTTATTATTTTTTAAATAATTTATTTAGGCCATCTGACCCAACGCTATCTAATTTCCAACTGAACAGAGCTTGTACTATGAAAACTAAATTGACTGATGGAATACTTATATATACTTTTTTTGTAAATACATACACATTTTACATAGAAAACACCCAAACTCCAAAACAAATATTTGCAGATCATACAAACATTAGTTCCGACTCGAGAATCGAACCCGAGACCTCAGCACAGTAGTCGCATACGCTACCACTGCACCACCGAGGTAGTTGTGCGCAGTATATTATTTGTTTATACAACTGGGCCAACTAGCAGCACTGGGCTAACTTTTGTTTTTGTTGTTTTGAAACAAAATGTGCACGTGATTGCATTCCTCATGAGTATTTTTCTTCATTTCTTCAAATATAAATAAAACGACAAAAAAAAAAGAATTTTCAAAATCGATTCATAAAATGCTGGCGTTCTAAGATAACAAACATAAAAAGAAAAATAGCCAAAATGTGAACCTCCTCTTTTTTTTAAAGTCGTTTAAAGGTTATGTTCAATAAATATGATGATGATAAACAGACAACTTACGTTGGAACATAAACATTTCTGGTTCGAATATAATTTAAGACTACAAAGTAAATATATGAATGCGTGTCCTCGTGTCGTAAGTTTGCATCACGGTAATAACTGCTTACCTAAAATTGGCTGTGGTTTTCGAACAATGGCCTAGTTAAGCAATACTTATCTTCATATTTCGAACCTGTAATAAGCGTTATATAACATAATACTTTGAAGGTAACAGGGGCTTGATATAACTCGCCACATTGTTACAGTAAGATCAATTATGTTTTTATGATGTACTAAAGTTTGCCGTAGACTGCAGGCGTGAAAGTTATTTTGTTTATTCTTTGGTAACCGTGGTGTATTTTCTAGATGAAATATCATTTTGTGTAACATTGTCAATGTGTATGGAAAGTCGCTAAACAAACAAAATCCCTTCCACGTTAATATAATATTACTTAGTGTGGTTAAAGAAAATTTCAGTAATTATCGACAGTGATATGAATAATTTACAATAAAATTATATTTGTGTGTAGCGTAGGCAATAATAAAAATTTAGATTATTATTTTTCATTTGGATAATTTTGAGAATTTGGGAATCGTATACTAAGTATTTTTAGAGTTTTGTTGTCATGTATAAAAAATCAAAAAGGATAATCTTTAAAAAAAGTTTTAACGACTGAATTTATTCTAATTTTACCTAAATGGCGTACACCGTACACCATTTGTTTCAAGGTAGGGCAAACCACAACAGGCAAATAAACTATAGTTTACTTAATAATGTTAAGAAAAAATATCTAAAATATAAAGAAGAAATATCTAAAATATATATTTATTTTATCAAGTCCTGCGAGGATTCTAGCTGAAGTTATTTAAATTTGACTTTCAAAGTTTTTCTATCAGTTGTTAATATAGATAGAGGTCAGTACTGAATAGGTAGGTACTTAATAAATGAATTAACTAAAAACACTGTACTGTGAAATTTTGTTGGCTTAAACATAGAAAAAGGCGCAGGGATGTTCTCTACTCCACGCGTTCCACACAGCTATGCGCGAACGCATTCTTATTTCGTACTTCGATTATCGATTAGGCCATATCGTCTGGTGGAATTATCCCTTGGTTTAAATACGTTACGTACGTACTTCTATACTAGATTATAGTGTAGGTATGCTCAAGAGTATTTCTATGATAAATAAAATAAAAATATGTCTTCAAATCTTTAATAATATTATGATTAATATATCAAAATCAGTCGAACTTAATTCACATACTAAGTACTAAATGTATCCCAACACGCAATTTAGGAAATGTTTTCGTTAAGTCCTATAACTACTTGAGGACTTTGATTTGTTCAAAGTGAGTGTTTGAGGAAATTACTGATTGAGAGTTAGCAAACAGTTTTAATCCGGTCATTTTAGGAGACCAGGTGATGCCAGGCATATGTACAATTTATATTATTAGTCAAAACATTGTTATAAAGTAAACAAAGTTTTTTCAATGACATAAAAACATTACTGCTGCCGTTCCTACTTCCTGTAATGGTATCTTAATAATTTTTATATCCTAATATACGCGTTAACAAATTCCAGAAAATCTATGTATGTAATATATTTATATAGATACATGTTTCGTTTTTATAGTATTATTATATTTGTTTAAATAATGTTAATTATAAATATCCATACGTCATATATGTGAGTAGAATATTATATATTGTGAAAACCCATCCCTCATCAATCCTCTTCCATATATTTATATATTTTAATAATGCCTTATCAACATAGTTTCAAATGATTAAAAATCTAGTTACAATCAGTATATTTCTAGTTTATAAAAAATATTGTCTCAAAACTGCACTTCCACTTAAACCAACATCCAAATAAATCTAAGAGAAGTTAACTAATTCTTATTCTACTTTCAAAGTGCTTGAACTAAACTCTTTCCTCTATACATATTTCATGTCCGGATACTGGTTTCAGGAGAAAGTCGAACCGTAGCCGTAGGTTGGAGTCGTCTGCTGTGATCTTGTAACGACGCAAGAAATGAACCAGGGTGGTCTTCATAGATATCATGGCGTAGGTTTTACCTAGAGTATTATTTTAACTTTAGTGACATGTTCAACAAAAGTTAATAAAATAGAAAAAATAATACATAAAAACAATTACATAATACAAATAGAAGAAACAAAAATAAATAAAATAATTCGTTCTAAATAATTAAATTACTATCTCGTTCTTTTCACTTTTTCACTTTCGGTTCACTTCATAAAACAACTCCGGTCCGGCAGTAGCCTGTGTTGCTCTTTGCGTTCACTTCTACTGAAAATGTTCACTATTTCTCTCTGTTTATTATGTCTGTTTAGTAGTTTATATTCTACTCTAAAAGAGATTCACATCACACATCAACAGCCTATAACAGTCCACTGCTGGACACAGGCCTCTCCTTATAAATCAGGTTTTGGCCTACTATACCACGCTGGCCAGACGGGTTGGTATAGGATTTGTTTCAAGTTTTCCTTCTCTTTGCAGTGCTGTTGTCCTGCGTAGTTTGCTCCCTTAGTCGGCTCTTACGACACCCACGGGATGAATAGGGGTGGTAACATTCCGTATTCTTAATCCATCACCACACCAAAAGAGATTACTTTTATGCATATAGCGTCATGTATGTAAAGAATTTAGATAAAACATTGAAGGTAAGAAATGTAAATACATATACGAGTATGTGATATAAATATTAGGAGTAATTAATAACATTGTCACAGGTTTAAATGAACTTACCCAAACAAGAACGTTTGCCCAAGCTGAATCCAACGAACGCATTTGGATTGACTGGCGTATCTTCGCTAAGCCATCTTTCCGGTCTAAACTGGTCTGCATCTTTACCCCATACAGGGTCGCGGTGAGTACCGTACAGAAGTATTACGCAATCACTCCCTGCACGCATCGTGTAATTTTCTACAACAATTATGAAGATCATCAATAGAATAATTTAGATGAACAAGCATTTAAATGATTGTGCTAGAAAGGGAAATATCATATTAGTTAAGCAGACAACTCCCGTATTAGGAAGGACTTTACCAACATTCATGAAACGGAAACAAAGTACACTCAGACTTCTGAGTTGTTGTTCTGACAACAATTCGTTTATCACACAAAGTGTTGTCTCGTGTGGGGATTAAACCCACAACACTCAGCACAGTAGGAAGCGGTGAGCCATCCGTGCAGTCGAATATTGAGCCAGTATTATATTGCAGTTAGAAGTAGGAATATAAACTTATGCTAACTATCATTAACTAATTGTTTGTAGAGATCAAAGTTCTCTCCTTAAACATAAACAAACATTTAATACTCTATAAACCGTTATTATCTAAGAATTACGGAAAAGAACGCGCGTTGTTTACGTTCCTCTATTATTATATATTAGATTATAGATTTAGTAAGTTAACACTATGACTTAACATTGGCGGTTTTGACAAAAATGAACATGAGGTGAGGTTTAGACTCTTTAGATAATGTGATATTCTTATTGACGGAATGTGTCGGATGCCTTTTTAGCGAATTAGATCATCATTTGCCTACCTTTATCCCAATTTTATTTGGGGTCGGCGCAGTAACTTTAATTCTTCTATTCAACTATATTATTCGTCATCTCACTGTATACTTCCTTCCTAGCCATATCCTCACTCACACAGTCCATCCACCTCTTCTTTGGTCTTCCTCTTCTCTTATATTCCTCAACTTTCATACCTAACACTTTCTTCGCCACATGTTCCCCATCACTCCGCGCATTGTCCATACCAAGAACTTTCCTTTCTTTTAGAATTGTCTGTACCTCATTTAGCCACCATGTAGCTCTTTCAATAATGCCTTTTCCTTTCGTTTCCCCAAATACTTCTCTCGTTATCTTTCGTTTGCCATTTCACCGCACCACGTTTTTGGAACCATGTGTTAACTACTGCTAGGTCAAACTTTTACATTTGCTTTTTAGGTTGCACCCGCCTGGGGTGGTGCAACAACCCTTGTCCACTTATTCGCGTAGCCGAGTGCTGCTGTTGCGCATCACCTACGGAGTACGCTCTAGCACTGTAGCACTCACTTTGCATCATACTCATACTGCAGATATATTTTGGCTAATTATTTTATATCTATATTTTAGCCTGCCTGTCGCCAACCCTCCTTGGGCATGTTGCCGTTTATAGGGTAGGAAAAAAGGTGACATTGGAGGTGGAAGGATTGGATGAGAGAGGGAAATTAGGGGCGGGGTTCCGCAGTACTCGGATGGGAGACAGGACTAAGACTGCGGTGTGTACCAATATCCAGCGGTTGGAGTGGGCCACCAGGACAAGTAGAGCACGTATTATATATATACAGTCTGATGACAAACAGTGCGAAAAATCCCTTAGTCGCCTTTTATGACACCCACGGGAAGAAATGGGTTGGCCTTATTCTCCTCCGCCGAGAATCAACATATAACTCTATTCTACCATATATTGTCAGCGTCTACCTTAAAAACATGTATTTGTGAGGTCGAATTATTATGTTATAATCTAATTATATATTTGTTATGAGGTATGAAGAGACTTACGTGTACGATAGCATAAAAGCCTTTGATAATAAATAAAGGCAAAAAAGGTACTTATGTCTGCTTCTCATAATATTAAAATAACGTATGAGGCAGCTGAAGTATTATTTAATATTTAGTTTGTGCATTAAATCAAACAAAAAATTAAAGTTTTTTATTTGGAACTAAAAACATATACTTACTAAGTTTTACATCTTTTTCCACATGTCTTAGAGTTACTGGTCCAGTGGTGAAGACGCGTAAACTTTCTTTTATAACAGCTTCTGTGTATACAAGCTTTCTGAAGTCTTCCTTTTTGACATCTCTGTCTATTTCAAAAATTTCCTTTATCCTTGAAAACGCGATTTATAAATTTAATAAGTTATGTTATAGGATCTATAATTATGTTTAAGATCTTTTTGGACCTCCAAAAAGCTTTTGATGCGTTGTCGGTTCCAATATTATTAACGCGAGTAGAGAATGTTGGTATGTGAGGATTGTTCCATGATTAGTCCATAGACTATCTGTTGAATAGTTAATACTGTTGACTATCTGTTGTTGTGCAAAAGTTTCTGGCTATATAAAGTAATGACTCCGATCGCGGCTGGAAAGCACTTTTGCTCTTGGTAATTTTATGTAATTGCTTTTATTTTGTTTATGTAAATGACAGGTACCATTAATGACGGGTAAGATGCTAACTCTCGTCACAGATGCAAATTGTAGTTTATACTAGAGTAAGAGTTAAGGAATTCATAAATACCGTATTATTATAAATATACTTAATAATAAACCATAATTTGTTGGTTTCATATTCACGTCTGGTTGTGGTTGTACAGAAAAAGACCATTGTTCCAGAATTACCAAACATTAGATTCATTCTGACGTCAAGCGAGATTTACATTTAAGGTACGTCAGGCCCAGAAAATTTCGTGTATATGAGTATAAACTCATTTAAGAAACCTTTTAGAAATAATGTCTAGTACGAGTAGTGTGTTAATGTTTTTAAGAACTTACTCTTTGTAAATTTTTTCTTGAACTATTGGATGTGTTCCCAATAATATCATGATGTAACTTAATAAGCTTGATGTCGTATCGAAGCCGGTTACTATTGCTGTATCAACTTCTTCTCTTATCTCCTTGTCTGTCAAAGCTTTATCTTCGAACTCTAGAAGAAGATCTAAGAAGGGTTTGTATCTGATATCTGCAAAAATATTATTTAACTATACGTTTTTTTACAGGTCTCGAGAATCCTGTGAATCTTTCGCTGGATCTTTTTCTCATAGACCTACATTTACTAAATCTCTCAGAATCGGGGGAGAGAATTCAAAAGAAAAGGAAGAGGAGTTTTTGGGATCTAGTAACCTCAGTTACTGGGTGAAAATCAACGAAAAAAAACTGCTTAACACCGGTTTTCTGTGAGGTCGTAGCGTCATTGCGGTCGAGCTGGCCTATTTGTGCCGAAGTATGGCTCTCCCTCGGTAAAGAAGAAGGCTGTTCATAGGTAGATTAAGCAAAATAAATATAATACAAGGTGATTTATAACTTACCTGTATTTTTTTCATTTTCAATATCGCTTTTGATTCTAGCTGCCTTTTTCTTTTGGATTACCTGCAATAAAGATAGCAGGTAATAATTATTCAGAGACATCGTTCTTTATTATCCAAATTGTCATTATTATGAAAGTGTAATACATATAATATGTGCCACACAGATAATGTAAGTACAAATGGCGGCCTTATAGCTAATTGCAATTTCTTATAGACAACCTTAGGATGGATGAAAATGATTTTGAAACACAGTTGTAGTTGAGTGTTGTGGGTTTCGATCCCCAAATGGAACACCATTTTGTGTGATTCACAAATTGTTATTCCGAATCTGGGTGTTCTTTGTGTACGTTCGATGGATGTTTGTAAAGTCTCCCGCAACACAAAAAAGAAGTAAGCCTTTATTGTTTACCACTGATATTATTTACATGTCTTATACCTTATCAGACATGTCGCTGACAATTTTTACGTATTTGTCATGTTTTTTCTTGAGTCCACAGATTTTGAATATAAAATCGCTTTGGAGCCAAAAGTTTTGAAACCTTGATGTAACGATGTTAAGAATTTTTTCTGTGGCGTGCATGTATTTTTTAATAAAATCCTTGTCTTCAAAGCCACTTATCCCGAACGCAGTTACTGCAATAAAAACATGTTTTTTTATTATATACAAATCTGGAGCATTGAAATTCATCGAAGGTCCACTTTTATTAAATTAATTGCATCAAACCAAAACATACGTGTTTTACAAAAAAGAAAACTAATCAGAAATGATTGACTTTTTAAAGAAGTATACAGATTGCAGTCCGCCTAATTCATGACTAAAATTATAATTGGCTCTATTATTCACCTGTAAATTTTCCACTCTGGAGATTGAATATAATTTTCAAACTTAAATATGACTAACACTTAAATTACACGCTTATTAATATCGCGTAACATATACGCAAAACATGATAATTATTGATGAAAAAAAAATACAAAAAATCTGACTGCGTCAATACCTACATGGTGTTTATAATTTACATATTTATATGCACTAGAAAAAATAATTATCCATTCATCTGGGGAAGTTAGGTAAAACAGTCAAATTGAAGCTAGCTATTTTTAATCAACTTCAATCAACTTCAACAAAACCTCGTAGTAAAATGATTTAGATATCTTTTTAACGCCATTAGCATAAAGCGTTCTAGCAAAGATCGTGTTATTGATACAGTGACTAAGGTATGGCTTCTTTGTCAATATAAGTTGATAGTATCGTCAAAATAATAGGTCTTTACCTATAAAATTGCCGTTTTGTATGCAATAAGTGAAAGTACTTATTTTTTCAAACTAGTGCAAGGTGCAAGGTCTGGTGAGTATGGCGGATGAGGGAGAGCTTCCAACCCCAGCTCTTGCAGCTTGGAGACTGTCTGTTGCGCAGTATGGGGTCGCGCGTTATCGTGAAGGAGCAGTGGGGACGACCGATTGACCAAAGCTGGTTGCTTGGTACTCACCAGACCTTGCACCTACCGACTATTACTTTTTCCAAAATTTAGACAACTTTTTAGTGGGTAAAAAATTCAATTCCCGAAAGGCAGTACAAAATGCCTTTGAAGAGTTTATTGCCTCCCGTCCAGCTGATTTTTACAAGAAGGGCATCAATAAACTGCCAATACGTTGGCAAAGATGCGTCGCTTGCATGGGTGATTACTTCAAATAACAGAAATAAAAAAGTTTGAAAAAATAAGTACTTTCACTTATTGCATACAAAACGGCAATTTCATAGGTAAAGACCTATTATTTGAAGTATTTACTATCTATTACTTTTATACAAGTGCGTTTAACGTCAAGGAATTGACACCTACGTAAACGCATTTAGCGTTTCCGTAGGTGTCACTACTTCGGGCACGCCGTCATCGCGGCGGTAAGACCCGTTATGGAGGATTGGCTCGAGAGGCGTCACGGGACCCTCTCATACCGACTGACGCAGGTGATCACTGGGAAAGGATGTTTCGGGGATCACCTGTGTCTGATCCGCAAGGAGCCAACGCCTGAGTGCCACCACTGCAATGGCCAGACCGTGGACACGGCTCTCCACACGCTGGCAGAGTGATATTTCATTTAAGAATAAAAACGGTACTCACAGCAGAACGTCTCCAAAGCAATATTTCTCAAATGGACAGTATGATCGAAGCGTTTACCAACTTCTTGCTTTAGGTTTTCAACCAATGACCTTGACTGCTTATTAAATATGTCCAAAAATCCGTATATCACTGGTAGACTGAATGCAGGAGTGAGTAGTTTACGATGGCGTTTCCAAGTTTCACCTGATTTAGATAAATGAACAAATAAGTTAGCAATAGAAATACGACTTCGAGAAGATAATCGTTTTTATTAGAAGATTTCCACTCATTACTGGGTAATATACTAAAACAAATACTCACAAAACACGAATTACACTGTTCTTCAACAAAAATGTGTATTCTATTGAATAGTACCTAATCTGACGAACAATAAAATATATTTTTTAAACTTTCTTGACGTATGACGGCTCGCATTCCGAGGCACAAACACACAAAGTTACAGGTGCGTGAACTTAGCTATTCGAGCTATTTGTATTACTATGACACCTCTTAATACATCCATACAAGCAACATCTAAGATATATCTAAGAAGAACCTACCGTTTCATTCACTCGACTTTTCAATCCACATCGTGAGAGTTTAACGCAAGCAAGCAACTACATATTTCTTACAATATATACTTATATATACAATATATACAAATAAACTTACAAAATAACATCACATGCGTAATGCTAAATGAGCTAAATTCTAACTATCCTGTCGTAGGATGTGCGTTTGTTTAGTAGTACATTTAGCCTTTTAATATTTACTGAGTCTCGTAAGTTCAAATCTTACACGCTTTATTTATTATTCTGATTTACACTAATTTGATAAATAAGTCACCTTAACAAGGTCGTTCGTAATTGCTTGTAAATTTAACGCGACAACAACACCTGTCGCATTATCGCACATATGTGCAATAAATAACGGTTATAAAAGTTAAAAATGAAATAAGAGACTGATAAATGATTAATGTAACAAAATTTAAAATAAGAACAACAATCTTTCAGAATTTGGAGTAGGAGGCACAGTTGAATGGCGATATTAATAATATTAATTAGCTAAATACATTCACGCTTCTATGTATCGCAAGGCCTATTTTAAACTCTTTAAAAAAACACTAACCTGAAGCTGTGATTAATCCGTCACCTAACCAAGGTTTTGCGTAATCGTATGTAAAGTGTTTCTGAAGGCATGCGTTTGCTGATGTCAGTGCATCATCTGGGTCCGAGATAACTGCAAAAATATGATAATTGACGGTTTTACCTTTCATTGGACACGGATCTTCTGTAATTATTTTTTATTATTAAAATTTTATATTCCGTCATAAAAAAATAAAAGTATTTATATACAAAAGACTCAGTTTCCAATGATTTTTTTTTAAATAGATTACTACTACAATCACAAAATAAAATACGCAAGAAAATATCTCTATCATCTGTGTTTTTATATTTGTCAATGCTGGTAATCGCTAATCCTTGGATGGGCCGTGTTTTTTTTAAGTCTTGAAATAAATATTACTGGCAATATTGCAAATCAGGCCAACTATACTTTGGACTAATATTTGAAACATTTTGTTTGTTGACGATTGTGCCCGTTTGTTTGTATGACCACATATGAGTTTTCATATGGAGCTTCAAATTAATATCAAGATACAAATAGTTTAGAGAGTAAATTGGAAGAAGAAAAAGATTGAAACAAAAAATATAGGTCTGTCTGTGTCTGCCTGTGGTCTGTGTATATCACTTTGGCCAGAAGGCATGTTACTCTTATATTAGCGGACTGAAAGCACAGACATCGGACATGGCAGCAACAGTTCGTTGGATCCACTGTGAGTCGGTAACTGCAAAGGTTTGGTGCATGATCAAAAACATAGACGAGCATACCTAAACTTACAAGTTTAGTTATGCATCGTTTGTGTTCTAAATATACATCAAGTACAGCGAAAAAATTTCGGTCTTGAGACATAAAAACACCACAGGCATAAAAGGACCTTGGTGCGGTTCGTGTCAATAGTCCCCTGTTTGTATGTTGTGACTTTTCAGATCGCAATGAGTCTTGTCATCTCATTATAGGTATATCAACATTTTTTTTTCCTGCAGACAAGTGAAAAATCGGATATACTACTCAGGTTTAACAAACCTATTCCTATCCTAGCTTTTTGAATACACGTTGTGGCTCGTGTGTCCACAGTCTATTCGTAATTATATGTTTAAGATAAAACCTACTTACAATAGTATAGGTTAGTTCCAAGGAACAAGCAAATGACACCACCTCTTTTTGTAGCTTCTGCTGAAACATTTTTAACAGTGCTCCATAAACCTGTAACAACGAAAATTTATACTGATTTTGTGATGCGTAGAGATGAGCAAAATGTAGTGAAGGAAAGAAGACGACCAGCGATACGATGGATGACTGCATGAAAGGGGATATGGCTAGATATTGACGTAGTAGAGAACTGACGAGTGATAGAGGAGAAGGGAACAAGAAAACTCATTGCGCCGACCCCAATTAAATAATTAATATTAAATTTGGGGAAAGAGTAAGAAGACGAACGCATAAGTGTACTAAAATGCTTGTAATAATATGTAACTTAGTGGTCTTACTAGGTGCGAAATAAATCTGGAATGTTAAAGTTGGCAAATGCCTATAAAACAGTAGTTCTTTTTCATTACTAGTAAAAGAAATTACAAAATCCAAACCTTGTCAATTCTAAAAGACCATTTCATGTTATTAAGAAATGAAATAAATAATCTAGTTCTCTTTAATTCAATGTCTGTTGGGCCGTTGTAGTGGTTAGTGATACTGAAAGCTAAGCCAGAAGTCATAAGTTCGATTCCCACCTAGGACAAACATTTGTGTGATGAGCACTATCATTTGTTCTGTGTAATTTATAAAAATATATAGGTATGTTTATCAGTAGTCTGGTCACCATAATACAAGCTCTACCTAGTTTGGGATCAGTCTGCCGTTTGTGAGATTGGGACTAATCCCACCCACACGCCCACCACTGTAACTCCTGTACACCAGGATCCACAGCAGTGACCCACGAACACACCGAGTTATGACACTCGGGAAGTCCCAGGAAGAAATTAAACCCGCAACGAAATTAATCAGAAGAAAATTGGAGGAGTTGGAAATACAGTAAATCCACTTCCCTCCTTAGCAAAGCGGGAGACAAAATCAAGTAAAATGGGCATACACCCTTTTAAACAGGGAAGCACCACGGCCACAAATATTACGGGTCCTACGTGAGCTATGTTTGATTTCTATAATATGTATGGCAGAATCGCCTAAACGCACGGAAATTCACCCTAGTTGACACAAGATCCCCATAGTATACCGCCCCAGATGTCACCTGCAAGCTATTCAGCATTATATTACGTTCATTATACCAAAGACTACATTCCCAGAGGATATGATGAGCAGACTGTTCATAGTGAGAGTTAGGTGTTGAGCATTGACACAATGGTGACTCGACTAACTTAAATGAATAAAGCTTGCTCTTAAAGTTACCATGACCCGTAAGAAATTGGGCGACACAGTGATCCACCTCAAGCCATATCCTCGACAGCCGTTAGCGAACAGATGGAAAGAATTGGTAAAGATGGCGCCCCTTGGATGATTCATCCCAGCGTTGTTGCCATTCGTCTATGAGGTCATTATAGACATCGGGCTGCTGTTGAAGCAATCTTGTAATTTTACCGCGATCCCGCGCGCCCAAAAAATCGCATTCCATGTTTTGTTGTCTTGAATAGTACATGGCTGCACGTCTCTGCACCTCGAGATCGACCGGAAGCACACCCGCCAACACCGGCAAAGCCTCAGTCCTAACCGTCCTATATGCCTTACACAAGAATATCAGTGCAAGTCGTTGGCCTTGTAACAGTTTGCGACGGACAGCGCCTACGGTCGCCCTATCGGCCCATACAGGTGCACCATAGCACATAGAACCTAAATAAGTAGCTCCGTATATGATCTTTAATGTATTCAATGATAGACCCCATGTCGCAGTTGATATCCTTGTCAATGCACAGAAACTCTTTTTAGACTTTTCATTAACTATTTTAATATGTTCGATAAATGAAAAGTTTCTTTCTAAAACTAATCCTAGGTAACACACTGAGGTTTTATTTTTTACAGTAACATTATCAAATCTAATGCTTGGCGGTGATTTGAGGTTACCTTTTAAAAGTAGCTGGAAGGTTTTGTTGGGTGCAAAAGTTAAGCGATTACGTTCACCCCATTGAGATATCAAGTTCAAACATCTATTGGCTGATCTCTCAAGTCCCGCCCTAGTATCAGATTCCACCAGTAATAAGCCGTCATCAGCATACGCGTCCAGAATACATCCGGATGGTATTGGTATCGCAAGAAAATCGTCGAAGCCGATATTCCACAAGTATGAACCTAGCACCGATCCCTGAGGACAGTGGTAGAATGCTCGCCTGCCGTTTGTGAGATGTGTGAGGTTATTATAACGTTGAATAAATAACCAGTAAAGGTGAAAGAAGTAACTACCGCCGCCTAAGAACACTCTCATTAGAATCCGGAGAAGAAGAGGTCTAAGGTCGCGTTCGTCGATGCGATTGGCCCGCACTGAAATCTTAACCAATCGCAACACTGACCGCGCCCGCTGTCGAGAGCGAGTTGATGTGAAATAAACTCGCACTTGGTCCTTTGGGCTCAGGTAACTCACTCAGGCGGCCTTTAAAATTTTTAAAATTAAAAGGTTGAAATTTTTTAAACCAACTGAAATATTAAGGTTGACATGTGCAAAAATTGTTCCAATATAAAAAACTATTTTGAAATTATTTTTAAAAAATTTTTTCCAAACCAAATAAAAAATAAACCCTTAAATTTTTGGGGTATTCTAGGGGGTGTCACTAAACTATGGTTAACCCCCCCCCCCCCCCCGGTTTATGCAAAAATTTTTTGTTAATTTTTAAAAATTTTCCCGTTTTTTTTGTAACAGGACGCGTTTAAAATAAAATTATTTTTCCAAAAAAACCAAAAATTTTTAATTGCTCCCCTTGGCTTTTATTACCCACATTTTGGGTTTTCCCCTAATAATTTTAAATTTTATAAACCAAAAAAATGAATGCCCTTTTTAAGGGTTTTTTTCAAAAATTTTAAATTCCAAAAAAACTTTTTCCCCTTTTTCCCAAACGTTTTTCCCTAATAAAATTTTTAGTTTTTTTGGCCCATTTTCAAATTTTGAAAATTTCCTTTTTCCAAATTTTAAAAACGAAAAAAATATTTTTTAAAAAATGCAAAAAGGGAAAAATTTATTTAAAAACCCCCAATTTAACTTTTTCAAGTAAAAATAAATTCCCTTAAAAACCCTGGTTTTTAAATCGGCCCCAAAAAACAATTTAAATTTTTAAATTAACCAAAATATTTTTTTTTAAATTTTAAATACGAAAAATAATTTTTTTATTTTTTTGAAACCCCCTTTGGGAAATAAAAAAAATTTTAAAAATGTATTTTTTTCGTTTAAAAAAATAATTTAACTAAACACATTTTAAAAACCCTCGCCATCCCTTCATCAGTTTCCTAAAAAAAAAAAAACCCCCGGGGGGGGGTTTTGTTAAAAAATTGTTTTTTAAAGGTACTTTAAAATTAACCTTAAAAACCCTTTTTTATTTACACTTAACCAAGAAACACCATTTTTTTTTTTCCCTTTTTGGCCGGGGAACCCTGTCTCTTTAAATAATTTAACCTAGTTTAAAAGAAAACATTGGTTTTTTTCCTTTGTTTTCCCTTATTTTTGAAATTTTGTTACGTTTTCTATTTTTTAAATACCAAATTGGTTGCTATTTTATTTGGAAAAACACTTTGGGAAAAAATTTTTTTAATTAAATTTTTTTTTTAAAACTTTTTTAAAATAAAAAAACTCCTTCCCCTTACCCCCGTTTTTTTTTTTTAATAAACCCCAAAATTTTAACTTGACCCCTTAAATTCCCAAAAACGTTATGGAATCCTTTTTTTCCTTTTCTTTAAAAATCCCCACTGTTTAACCTTGTTATTACCGAACCACTAAACCCATTTTTCCGTGGGGGGGTTTTCGGGGAAAAAAAAACGTTAAAAAAAATTTTTTAAAAAAAACCTTTTTTGTTTTAAAATAATAAAACAAACCAAAAAAAATTTGAAAAAAATAAAAAATTTTTTTTTAAAAAAAAAGCAAAAAGTTAAAAATTTTCCCAAAAATTTTACGGTTTAAAAAAATAGTTGAATCATTGGGGGGAAAAAAAAATTTTAAAAAAAAAAAAATAAAAAAAAATTTTCCCCAAATTTTTGAAAAAAACCCAAAAAACTTAAAAAAAAATTTTTAAAAAAGAAAAAAAAAAAAATTTAAAAAAAAAATAAAAAAAAAAAGAAACCCTTTTTTTTTAAATTAAAAAAAAAATAAAAAACTAAAAAAAAAATTTGGAAATAAAAAAAAGAGGGGGGGGTAAAAATACCCTAGAAAGGAAGTCCCTAGTGCGTTATAGTAATACATATTTACCTGTACGTATACGAATATAAAGTGTATTTATGTATGTACATGTGTGTATGTATATGAGTATATGTTAGTTAAAACTATATACTCGTATATCAATAGTATACCGTGTTTTAATATGAAATAGATAGAACCACTAAATATAAATTGCGGTGCGGTGCGATCGCTCACATATACCTCACGCTCGGTCGGTCGTTAAAATAATAGATCGCCAACCTTTTTTTTGTTTTAATTCACAATTACTGTAAACTCGAAGCAACTACCGCGATAATGAGGACCTGTGGAGTTTGTAATGTTAAATTCAACGATGGAGTGCAATGCTGCAACTGTAAGAAGCTCTTGGACTTTGGCGGTGCGAATATCTCCGAAGCAGGTTGGCGAAAACTTGGGGCCGATAGGAGAGCTCAATGGAAATGTCCTATGTGCAGGATTTCCTCACCGGCTATGTCCACTCAAGAGCCACCTGCAACGCTGGAAATGGTGCTTACTGAAATTAGAGATATGAAACGCCAGCTATTGAGCCTAACAGCTCTTGTCGAGGATATGCGTACCATCAAGGAAGAACTTATTGAGTTGAAGTCCGATTTCGACTTCTCCCGTGCGAAGCTTGACGAATTTAGTTCTAGACTTGTGGATCTCGAAGCCAAAACATCTGAGCTTACAATACTTCTACTTCAAGAGACTGACAATTCACTTGGTAATAGCCTATCCAAGACATTGTTTGAGCTCGATTCATATGATCAGCGTTCGCGTCTGTACAACGTGGAGATTAAAGGAGTGCCACTAAATAAGAACGAAAACCTATTCTCAATTGTTAAAG